ATTAAATATCTTCTCCTTAAGAATTAGCTATCGTTATCCTATTATTATTCTGCCTTGTGTGTCCACCTTCGATAAGATACGCTAGACAAGGGTCTGTAACAACCATATACCAAGTTACCAACGCATCACCCATTCACTATAATATAATGCCCGATGTATTTCTCCTGTACTCCCAGTTCGTCAAAGCCCAATTCCTTAAAGACACCCTCTATGTGATGAAAAGCCTTAGTATCAATTTTTAAAACATGCTCTTTCCCCCTCCATGACCATCTTCTGATCACCCCATTCTCTAAGAGCAGCTGCATAATATCAAAGGACTTGAACACTGCCAAAGCCAACGGTGACCTCTGTTTCTCGGTCCAGGCTGATGTCGAAGAGTCCACGTTCACATCAGCCCCATACTGCACAAGGAACCTCACAGATTCAACATCCTGGGTCCTAATCGCGTACTGAAGGGGATTCTCCCGGTTCCCAGGATCAATGTCATTCGGATCAAAGCCATGTTCTAGAAGCATTTTAAGAATGGCCGGCCTCGTCGCCCTGGGGCAATCATGTAGCGCGACCCATAGCGGGCCTTTGTATGGCCCCGAACCGTGCACGTGGCAGTCCTTCTGTCGTAAACACCACCGGACGATCTCCACATCCCCAGTCCCTATAGCGTCGCGAAGCATGGCAGGAAACGCGACCGGGGCTTCACAGATTGATTCTAGATACTCCATCATATCCATATTGCGGGCCCGAATCGCGCCCCGCAGCGCCGTGTTAAGTGGGACCTGGAAATTGTACGCCCTCTGATTCTTTGCATACTTCAACAAAGCCTCAAAGAAGGCCCTATTTGCACAACGAGCTGCAATAATCCACGGCCTCCGATTATGATAACTCAAATATACCCAGCTAGAAGACACCATCGGGGAGTCGCGCGCGGCAAGGGCTGAGATTAGATCCCCGCTCCCGATTCTTGCGGTGATGTCGATAAGGTTAATACCAAAGCGAGTACTACCTTCAAAAACAAAGTTGGGTACTGCTGGCATTGCTGGAGTGTTATTCTGATCAAGTACGCGGTTTAGCTCTGCCACATCGTTACGGATAATTGCGATGGTTATTAGTGCTACATGGAGAGTCTGTTCGAGAGATTCTGTTTCCATATCGCGTAACAGTGACCATTCGTTGCCGTAACCCTCTGTAAGTGATTTGAGACCCCGGGGGCTGAAGAGGCTCCAGGGTGTGTGGCAGGACCAGGTGATGGCATCGATTAATTTGGTGATTAGGACGTCTTTTTCTTGTTCCGTTAGATGGGAGATAGCAGGCATCTGGAGGATTTCATGGACGAATTTTGAGAAAACACAGGGGTATTGGTGGTGTTGGTGGATCCTCTGTCTAAGGAAGCTGTGCTTGTACGGGAATCGCGACCAGTGGGAGTAGATAAGATTGTTGTCCGCAAGGCGAGGACTTTTTAGTATAAGTAAGGGGATTTCACTCGCAAACATAGCTATCGCTAATGTTAATTGATATGCTCTAGAGGATGATCATTATCGATACATACAATCTACTAGTCTCGCTCTCAGCAGGTCTTGGACAGGGAAGATATCGACCATCTCCGATAAAATAATGCGTAGGATATCAAATGGGACCCGCATTCTGCTTTTGACCCCTTCAAGGGTTTGTCTAAGAAGAGAGGAGCCACACTTATCAAACCTTTTTCGGCGGTCGTTGCTGCACGTGCCTGTGGTATGAAGTTGAAGTGCTTAAAGGAAGGGTGTTAAATAGAACAAACACGCACCAATAAGGCTGTGTAAGGCGCTATAGACAAGTCGTTGCCATTGTCCTTGCAAATTAAAATAGCCTTAAAGAGATCCACAAATCGAATTTATTCAACGAAGACTAGTCTAGCTTCCTAATCTCGACGTCTGCGAGTGTGAATGACCAACCCCTTTTCTGCCTGGGCATGTTGGAACATATGTTCTACTGCCCTGTTGGTCGAGCTCGCTTAGTCATCATATCCTTTTTAGCTGAGCCTTCGGGCACCCAGGGTCCCAGCTCCGAAGGGGTCAGGATTTAGCGGCTGAAGGTCAGGGTGGTTCTCCTTAGAGGTCTACCGCTTTTTGTCACATGATGGGATCTCTGAGCCACCAGCGGAAGGGAATTTTCAGTGTAACATCTCTGTTATTTGTTGGAATATTTTCCCTTTATTGTTCGGCTCGAGGCTAGGTGTATTAATGATGAAGTATTTTTTACTGTTAATATTTATATTGAAAACTTGATAGTAATCGGTTGCTTATAAAGGTTAGTTTACAACTTTAGTAATTTATTAGAATCTAAGATTTATATAAATAGATTCCACTACTTGACAGCCTCTTAACTCCCGTTATTATTAATTGAGTTTTAAAAGGTCGCTTTTTTTTTATATTTGCTGGTATATATTGGCTTTAATTTAATTTTCTGGCCCAAAGGAGGTCAGAGTAGTATGATAATATGTCAGCCCCCCTTAACTGCTACGCTGCTGCCCCTTATTTTAATTGCACGTCGAGTCATGATCCCTGACTTAATCCCAGCCAGTAGGTAATTGTAGAACGCGTATATGCTTAAGTCGCGCTTTCAGCCATATTATCAATCACAACTTGCTAATGTTAACTTTCAATAATAGTTTCTTTTTCACTCCATAGAATTATTCTAATAATTTCGCCAATAATGTCACTTGTCTAAGTGCGGAAGATTATACGGGTCATTATTACCAACCTTTCTATCAAGTTGTCTACCGCGGTATAGTTATATGTAAAGAATAGGCATGTCAATTTATAATCGCTATTCGACGTAGATCCGAAGTGCTAAACTTACACAGCTGGTCGAATTACAAAGGAAATTTATTAAGCATAGTATCAAGAGAGTATGGTAAAATCTTTGCAGTGAGTAAGGTCACACGTGTTAGGAATCGGCATGGGATTTGCGCTATGTGGTTAGCTACCGGAATAGCTAGGTCAATGTATATATTATACTCTCAGTGATATAAGCTTGTTTAAGTATGGTGCCTTATTTTATAAATAAAGTGGCTATCAACGTCTTTTATCTCTATAATAATGTGTGGCGTTGGCTAATGCTTCCAAATATATAGTAAACGCCAACTTTAAGTATATCTGATATTAAGGCCTAATGATAGAGATCTTTCTTGTTATAACAATGATTGGAGGAAGATTTCTCCGAACAAGCTCTCGCTGTTACATCTTCGATGACCGAATATATCCTACAGCCTCACTGTAAACATCATAGAACGCTGGGAGATTCCAAAAGCCATGGTACCATAGCTCTCGTAGCCAATGCTTTCAACTTAGCGTTTATCTGGCTTCTATTTTTAAGGGGGGTGATACCGTAGACTCGGGGTGGGTTGACGTGGGATTCGCAGTCGGAACAGACCCGCAAACTGATAACTTGACTAATATGAATCTTGATGTAAGGTGAATGAATAGTCATTCTCTCAGCTCAAGCTTCCTTGATTAGCTACTGCAGGATCGAGTTTAGTCTCATCCGGACGAAGCTTAAGCACCTCCTATAAAGCCAATCAAGTATATGGACAATGTCACTGTTACACTCAGCTCTCTCGTAACTTTGGGGATTGGCATTCGTGACATGGTTGATGCTGTCGAACGGTTCCATCAGCTACTGTATGGATTAACCTTCCCTGATTATTATGATACTGTAGTTGGGGTAGCATTTATCTGCACCCCATTCTGCTTTTTATCTTTGCTGTGCTAGCGGCTGATCGTGACATAGTCTCCGTGCAAGTAGCCACTGCGAGTGATACGGGAAATATCGGAACCCGCACAGCCAGACTGGGGGTTGGGGATGAGAGCCCATGCGGCTAGAAGTTCCGATTATCGCGCAGGGTGATGTTGGTATTCGCGGAATTGCCATTCGGGTACTTTGAGGGGGCAATGCGTACTTTCAGAATTAAAGGAATAAATCAATATTAGATCGCTCCCAGTTCCAAAGTTCATTGCAGGATTCATTAACTACTTAGCCTCCTAAGATAATCCCTGTACCCTGGTATAGCGGACCTCGAGGATTGAAGTTGGGACCTTTCCTACGTCTGCTTACCTGGCTGACAAGTCTTCTACCTTAAATAGTACATACCTCTGGTATACAGTTCACGAGGCTTGCTATAATGACTAATCTAAACATATCTATTCGGAATCTATGGGTTTAGTGTCTAATCTTGGACCCAACTCGCCAACTCACGGATTTGAGTGAGGACCATAAGAGAAAAACACCTGCGAAAGCCTGGGGTGAACCTCGTTCTAGAACCGTGGGAAATCAATGTTTTCCGGGTGAAGATACTCAACCATATCCACACTGGAATCAGACTCCCCTATAGTCAAGCCGTTACCGATCCAGGCCATATCATTTCCACTGATATACGTGTAGTCGTAATCTTCGAAGCGGGGCTTCTCCAGGACCTTCACAAAGTGGATAGACGATCCAGGCCAGAGAGCAGTGACGGGACCATTCTCAGTCCCTCGCTTGTACCAGGAGCGACAAGGTAGCGAGAACACTGTTTTCTTGAAAAACTGCTCGCAATATCTCTTGAATGAGTCACAGCTTTCTCGCTTCGGCTGAATTGTTGCGATGCGATCTTTTTGCATTTTCGCGATAACGGAGCAGACATAATCGCAAGTTCGTTCGAGGACAATGACAAGAGATCCAACTCCAATTCCAGAGCTTGGGCCATGGGCAAAGAAGAGATTCGGCGCGCGTGTGTGCTTAGCTGATGTAAGTATCAGGGTACTGCTTCCATCTCTCGCACAGGTCGAGACCGCCGCTTCCATAAATTGGAAATCGCTTGGAAAAGCTAGTGTCAAAACCAGTTGCACAGACAATGGCATCGACCTTCCTTAGTGTACCATCGATCGTGACAATTCCCTCTTCTGTAACGTGGGAGATCGTATCCGAGATGAAAGACACATTGTCCTCGCTTAACGCTTCAAGATATCCAGGACCAGGTGTAATGCGTCGACAACCGGGGGCAAAGGATGGGAGAATCTTGTCAAGGATCTCCGGCTTCTTAAGCAATTTTGTGGCCATGTGTTCCTTGAAATCAGAAGCTGCCTGCTCTGCAAGCTCGCCACGCAGAAGATACTTCGTCATCGACTGCACTTCTGTCTCCAGCCGTTTGCGATATGCCAAGAGCGTCTCTGGATTTTCTTTGAACTCCTTGATTTCCTCTGGCGTAAAGTTGAAATTAGCACTCTTGGCCGTGTGCTTGCGAACTTCATCCTGGGCCCATGGGGGAGCGATCCAGGTTTGACCCCTAACATAATTATCGATTCGCTTGGTCTTCGGCTGAATAGCTGGGACAATTTGGATCGCACTTGAACCAGAGCCAATAACCGCGACAGAAAGACCCTCTGGGTTCCAGCGCTCATCCCACGATGCACTGTGGAGGAGCTTGCCCTTAAAGGTGTTAAGACCTGGGATGTCAGGCCACTTCCAATCATTCAATGCCCCGATGCATGCGTACAAAACATCGCAGCTGTCTTCGATAACCTCCCCAGTAACGCAGTTCTGAACGACCACATGCCACTTGGACTGTGAGTCATCGAAACTTGCCTCCACAATCTTGTTGTTGAGTTTCATGTACTTGCGCACATCGTACTTCTCGACGATTCCTTTCCAGTATTCGAGAATTTCACCACCAGATGAGTAGAACTGGGACCAGCTGGGGTTCGGTTCAAATGATGCTTGGTACACGTGGGACGGGACATCTGAAAATGAATGAGGAAGGGATCAAAATATTGTGGTTTGTTTCACATACCACATGCCACTCCTGGATACCGATTCTCATACCAAGTACCGCCGACTTCAGGGTTCTTGTCATACACGACGAGATCCAAGTTAGGGATACGCTGAGTGAAGCGAATGGCTGCAAGGATACCGGAAATTCCTGCACCGATAACGACGACCTTCATAGGACGCATATGATCAACCTTGCATCATGTTAGATCTGGAAGATTTCTCATACTACCAAAGATTAGGTGAAATACTTCGCCGGTACTCTCGCCACGGGGGACAAGGTCAGCTTCTTTGGCAATCATTGTAGCGGAGTTGTTCAAAGCTTTTGGGTAGTATAATCTCTGTTTACCAACGTTCAACAACAGTCCCAGTTACAGGAAATTCAGTTAGCTTAAATAGGCGAGACCAGTCAGGCCGCACTCTCAGTTCTTGACCATCCATGACTCCAACCGAATACCCGAAAGTCCGTCGGCTAGGATTCGCGACAGCCAACCTATTGTTTTGGCCTGGGGTAAATAGGATTTCCATACATACATTGTGGAGTTCCTGGTTTCCCCAAACGCGCGCTTTCGTGCACAGTGCAGAATCATTGGACTTCAAACTTCTAGAGCTGTTCTGATCTCAGGGTAAAAACATAGCAGTAACAGCTGAAGGACGTTTTAAGGCAAATATCAACGATTTTCATTTATCAACTCTTGTCTTTTGCTGGTTTCAATATCACTACATCGTACGACAACTCTGCCAAAATTATAGTTGTTAGCCGAATGGATCAGCCACCGTAGTGAGAATCTAAGTGGGCTTAATTGGCCCTGATGAAATGGGCATTAAGGAACGGAGTCATCCTCCTTCGTCGTCAGGTCCGACGGAGCTCTTGGAACATTGGCACTAGGAAGGGTCCAGTGATCTGGTCCTTCGTGGCCAAGTCCGACGGAGTTTCCAAAGCCTCGCAAGGATAATATACAGTACGATCAAGCCTCGGCAGTTTTGTTTGGACCGACGAAAACTTAGCTGACTTTGATGGTCGCTTGCTGAGAGGATCCATGTACCGACTACCTTAAAGTAAGCTCTCCCTTTGCTTCTCATGACCGTGGTCTCTCTCCTAAACAGAACGCTGCAATAGTGGGATTTCTTGAGATAAGATGCTACGAAGACCTGGTAAAATCGAACTAAACGTAATTGAAAAGGCACAACTTGACTGTATTGTGGAAGATAAAGCTATGAGAACCAGAGGATATCCAACCTCAAACAAGCGACAAGAACGCATATACGTGAGTTGCACAAATGCCAATCGACGGAACACCTTTAATTGCGCACACCCTATGCGATCTTCTGTGAAACCCACTCGACAATAGTATCCATCATCTCAAATGACAGCCAATGCCCAGTATTCTCAAAAACGTTGAAGGAGACATCATTCTGACTGGCATTCCTCTCAACCCAGGGCAGAGTGAACTTGTTTGGAACAAGCATATCAAGGGCGCCATTCAAAATCAATATGTGTTTGCCATTGATCTGATCAAGGCTTTGATCTCGAGCCTTGTACATTGCCGAAATCGACTTGGGCCACTTCGTTAAGCCAGTGCCATCTTCGCTGTCTGCTGCATCGCCAAGCCGTTCGGTGAGCAAGTCCGTCAAATTGGGGGAGCCCACGATGATAATGGCGGCTTGGATCCCTTCCACCTTAGAGAGTATGTCCCATGCAGTGTGACCGCCAAGTGATAGTCCTGACATAACAAACTCGGTTGGTGTGAACCGATCTCCTGTGTAAACTTTGAGATACTTCATCACGGCTTGAATGTCGAACACATTGCCATCTGTAGATAAATTGTTAGACAAGGTGTACGACTAGCTCAGGGCTGCGAACCTATCATGGCAAGCATGTCCTGTCTAGTATGGTGTAAGTTTGTGAATCTATGAAGAAGGTAAATGTTGGAGTGGAAACGCACGCGTGCTTCGGGTTTCCTCCGTTCCAGTCCTGACTTCATGGTTGTCATTAATACAAGGCTGAGCATCAAGGAAATATAGTTTTGCGATCCTTACGTAGCTAGTGAGTCGATCTGTAGCATGACGGTTAGAAGTGACTTTCAAAATAGTTGTTAAACTCGTGGGGGGCCATGCCGCTCGTTCTCCATGGTTGCGACTGTCAAAAGTTGCCACCACGAAGCCTTTAGCCAGGTTTTTCATTTGCTTCAACTGGAAAAGAAACTGGTGGGCGAACAATTCAGCATCTGCATAGCTCCTTGTCCGGCCATGCGCATGGAAAAGAACCACTGTATCTTCCGCCTGTTGCGGGGATAGCTCGTCAACCCCGTATATATACACGTGAAAGCCAGCAATGTTGATTGTCATCTTGCTGGATTTTGTTGTGCCCTCAGGCAGCTTGGTGAATGGCCGGCTCCGAAGCGACATGATGGGTTGTGATGGCAGTAGGGCTCCGAGGCAAGGTTTGAGTTGAGGGAAGACAGAGAAATGGGGGATTTCTGATTTATAGACGGTCGGGGGCTCAGCGCGGGGCTTAATCACCACGCAGGTCCCTTCCGCTGTTTACCGCCGATGCCAGGTTCTATTCTGCCATGACTGCACCGTGTGCATACGGTGAGCTGAATACAATACGGGGTTTTTGCGCTCCAGAAAGGATACCAAGGCATGATTCGAGGAGCAAAACTATCCCCTCTTTTTGGGTCTCTTGGTCAATCACAATCAAACGGATATACATTCCGGTGCAGCTTCGAAGCCTGAAATCGCCTTGATAACCGCAGTGAAAGGTACGGTCGCCCAAGTTAAGATGGAAATTATAGAGAGCCTCAGTCAGTTGGTACTATCTATCAGAGTAACCCAAGGCTAGTAACGGACATCGGAAGGTGTGTATCACGACGTACCCCAATCGCAGGTCCGCGTGTATCTTACGGCGGGATTGCAGGAAACTTTGACAAATTCACAGCTAGTCTCTACGCTACCGAAGACCCATATTCGACAAGACGCGCATCATGCCCAGAATGAGGGTACGTCCCAGCCTCATGAGCCAGGTGGCGATCTATCTGCCCGTCTGACAGCGATGATGGGGGTGTTGCTTTCGTGCACATTGCTTACCGTAATGATTTATTTGCCAATGCAAACCTAGTTCAATTGGTGGTTCGAACAGATACTGGGAGCTTATATGACACAGGCCAGCTTGCCCCTCGTCTGGTTACTCTCCAGCAACTTATGAGCCTGCACGATCTCAGTAAATGGAAACACCTTCTCTACAAACACCTTGAAGGTCCCATCCTTTAGCCTCGGAAGAACATGCTCCACCATGGAATCCCTAAGCTTCCGCTGATATTCCAGCTCCCGACTGCGGAGCGTACTACCCTCGACGCGAAGTCTCTTAAATAGCAGTCCACCGATGTCCACACCATTCGGCAACTTTGTGCCGCTCATCAAACCTAGAAGGACAATGCGGCCATCGCGCGCTGCGACGTCTATGTTGCCCTGGAAGTAGTTTGCTCCGACAAAGTCAACGATCAAATCACGCCCGCGCCGTTCGTCACCTTCTTGATCTCTGCCGCCCAATCTTGGGTCTTGTAGTTGAAGGCGGCTGTCACGCCAAGCTCGTTGACGAGGAAATCACATTTCTCCTGGGAACCAGCTGTCGCATAGATAGCTTTGGCACCCTCTGCTTTAGCGAGCTGAATACCACAGATAGAGACAGATGAGGCACCGGCGTGCCAAAGTACGGAGCGGCCGGGCTGAAATTGTCCGATGATGTGGAGGGCTTGCGATGCAGTGATCCATGTCTACAAGATTAGCGGAGTTTTCCGTTGCCAGTTCAATGCATGTCTCACCTCTGGAACACAGGCAGCTTGTTCCCATGAAATTTCCGCTGGTTTATGGACCAACATCCCTGTATCGACGACGATGTACTCCGCATAGGCTCCTGCGAGGGGTTAAAACAAACATTCACCACAAAGGGTCAAGGGGAACAACAACCTCCATATGCAAGACCGAACACAGCATCCCCAACCTTGAAGGCGCATTCCGCGCTAGCGTTGACCGATTCCACCGTGCCGGAGAACTCAACACCCATGGTTTCTGGCGCCTGCGGCGGAAGAGGGTACAGACCCTCTCTCTGCAATAGGTCCATGCGGTTTAGACCAAAGGCCTTGATTTTAATCAATGCCTGTCCCGCTGAGGGTGTTGGCTTTGGGATCTGCTGGATGGACATGGCGTCCGCGGGGCCTTTGCCGCCCTTGACGACTGTTGTCCTTAGCATAGCCCTGCGTGATATTGTTGAGATAGGGGATCCATCGCATACCGACTGCTCTCATTTCTGACATGGTGACTTGTTTGTTGGAAGGTAGGTATGCCAACCAGAATGTACGTAGAGGTTGAAATGCGCAGGTTAAAATATTGGTTTTGTAGTGGATTTTGGGGAGGATTAAGTAGCGAGGATGACGTAACTAAGAGAGCTCACTCATATCCACTTTTCACACCAAGTCCGACGGAGGCCGCGTTGACCTCCGCGGTGGTGCCTTAGCTTTACCGAGGATGGAGGATATGTCACCCAAATCCGTCAGATTATCTGTCACATTATATAACCCATGCACTTTTAAGATTTCAGTCACAAAAACGCAGTGTGCTCCTTCTTGATCGTCTCAACTTGATTTCCCCAAATCAGCTATCTTGATTAACAAGGACGTATCGATATCTAGCCGCCCCTTTCGCCATATCCACGATCGCCGCATTTGCCTCCTTCATCGGCCTCTCGGTCACCCACGGAACCACACTCTTGTCGACAGCCAGCTGCAGCATTTCTCGAATCTCGTGCGGTGCGCCGATAAACGAACCCGCGACTTTCGCAGAGCGTGAGGCCAGCAGGCCTGCTCGGAACGGGGGAAATTTGTCTTCTGGCAACCCTATCTGGACGAAACAGCCGTCGGTGCGGAGGCAGGTCAGGTAGCTTTCTATTGGCATCTGGTGTATCATCAGCATGCTTTTACCAGCAATGGGACGGGTTGCATGATGTTTGGGTGAGATTGCGTATGCCATACCTGTGAGGAGGATACTGTACAGATAAGCAGATCCAGAGTCATCTTATGAGCCGCAGCCCAGTCCGCATCTTCCTCGGTAGCAACATATTCGTCCGCCCCCAGACGAACAGCATCCTCTCTTTTATTCGACCGGCGGGAAATGGCAACAACCTTCTCTGCACCGAGCGCCTTTGCCCACAGAATCCCAAAGTGTCCCAACCCTCCAATCCCAATAATCCCCACGTTCTTCCCGCGTCCACAACCGTTCCTTGTCAACGCAGAGTAGGTAGTGAGGCCAGCACACATCATGGGTGCCGCATATGCCGATGGCAATCCGTCGGGAACCCTGAAGACAAAATGCGACGGCGCGCGATGGTACCGTCCGAATCCGCCGAAGGACTTATCGCCGCTCAGATACCGACCATTATAGGTTCCGGTGAGGTGGACGTGGCAGTAATTCTCCCTCCCACTCGCACACTCCTGGCATACACCCCGCCGACAAAGACAGGCGTCACTCTGTGGACCAACAGCCACCCGATCACCCACCGAAATCCCATTGGTAACACCTGACCCGACGCGCATAGCTACGCCGACGATTTCATGTCCAACGCAGCAGGGATACTCGGCTGGTGACTATAGAGCATAAGTCAGGCCCTCTCACTAAAGAACAGCAAGAGGCTTGAAGCAAGACATACCCAGCTGCTGCGCAGAGTACTTAGGTCAGAGCTGCAAACACTACAATGTGTAATTTTGATGTCGATGTCAGTTTCGTCCCATGTCTTGGGGGTGTAAGGACCCCATATCATCTTTCCATCTGCGGAGGTCGGGTCGTGGCCCAGCCAGCCTTCAAATTGCGGTGTTGGATTGGTGGTCATGTTGTGCGCTATAGGGCTTTTATGGTGTCACTGGTGGTGGAACGGTTTCTTTAACAAGCTGAGAGGAAGGGTATCGAGTCCAAGAGCTAGTCGCGAAGGTCAAGGATACGTACGTCCGGACAAAGTGATACTGTGACAAATTCGAGTTACTTCTCGGCCCAGGATGCAGCACACGCAGTCGACATATTCACGTTGTCAGGTGGCAACGACCACACGTCATTAGATAGCATCGAGTGACGGCGTAGAACCAAAGGGGGGCATGACGTTCAAGCCCACAGTATGAGAAACGCGAACCGAAGTCCAGGTGATGAGCATGGAGCATTTTGCCTCCGTCGGACCATCTGTCCATGGCTCACTGTAGACACGGGGTGAGCTTAAACACCTTTGTTCCGCCCAAGATACCCACCATCTTACAACAAACGTCCCACACGACTCATCGCCCAGTCTCGACTTCGTATTTGAGTTCAATGTCCGACGGAGTCAGGAGAACTGACTTATTCGACGTATCGGAGGGGACCGCACCTGCCCTCGCGCTTTCTGACAAATGATCCATGAGTGCTAAACGCTTGACTGTTTTAGGACTAGCCTCCGATGGAGCTTCAGCGGATGGGCCATCGTTATTCTCCAATGTCCGACGGACTTGATCATCAATCTGGTCTCTGCGTATAACCATGGTATTCTTGACAGAACAGCAACGATAACGATAAACGCACTGTGGATATTACAGCTCTGTAGTTGGATTGAGCTTGTTGGAGCTCCGCTGTCACAGCCCACTTGCATGCTATTCGCAAGAGTGCAGACAAAATAACAATTTACTGGCATTGCATGTAGACACCCAGATTATATATTCATATTTGTCTTCAACGAAATCAGAACACGCTGAACACTTATAGAAGTCAGTGTTATTATCCGGTGGATCAATCCCGCTTTGAAATGCTTGCCAGTTTATTGCCCACCCCCAAAGCATTACTTACCATAGAGACGGCACTAATTAGCTTGCAACTACATATGTCCGACAGTCACGATGGCTGAACATAGGCAATGGTTGAGTTCGCCCAGGTCATGTATATATATTGTTCCAACCGGGGTTAACCGGCGATTGATCACCAATGGAATTAACTGCCTGGGTATAGGACTTTATACACCAATCTAACTATGCAATTAATAGAACGCAACTACCGATGTGAGTACGGTAGATAGCCGGCCTCCCTTTTGAACTGGACCCACTGCGATCGCAGGTGGTATATTTGTCAAGACCCTGGAAGACACGATACCATATCAAGGACGCTCACTCGACTGAACGTATGCTATGAACCACTGCTCAGAAAAATCCCCAGAACCAACGTCTGCCTTTTGCCTTGCCAACCCCGACAAGAGGTGAGAGAGCCCTGCATCTCCATCGTTCCATGCTTGGAGTGATGTACCTTCTCGCCCCAGGTGTTCTTAACTCAATCTAGGAATTATCTGCTCAACCGCACCTGGCTATGGCGATACTCCCACAGGCCCTGTCGTTCAAATAGCGCGCTTTGCATGGATTCATGTAGTGAGTACCATGCACGACTACAAAAACGGCCCGCTGGATGGATGATTCATTGCGGCAGGTGTCCCGGTGCTGGTTTCTGATGTCATATCCCATGTTTTGAACATTGCATGTGGATCCATTGATACTTTGAAAGCGCTTCTGCAATTGCTCTGTTTGCTAATGGAATGGGGGCAAAGCGACACCGTGAAGCATACGCGTGGCCAAGGGTCAAGTTCGGCCAGGGGGGTAAACCAAGTCAGTAATCCACAGGGCAACCGAGCCCCACAAATGGTTAGTCTATTTGTCTCAAGCGAGTAGAGACAAATTCATCTTCCCTTATGTTATCACTATCGGACAGGGGTCGGGCTTAGACTTGTGTGATGGCTTTAGGCATTCAGTTACTGCAGGGTACTAAATTGAAACGAGGAATTTCTCACCCATGAAGGCACACACAAGTAGACCGCTGAGTGTCCCACATCTCGAGACAAAGCGGCAAACAGACCAGTATCTTGAAATAAAATTGTCCAGAGCATAAAGTAATGCGTAGGGCGCACCCAAATCATTATAAAACCAAATCACTAGTGTCTCAAGGGAATATGTTACCAAGTTCTGAGAACGATTGATACTCCAGATTATCTGACCACAGCCACATCTGGCTTGCATCTACGAGTCCAGCATCGACTAGTGCGGATACATTCCCATCCCATGAAAACATTGCTGCCGGGGTTGGCTGCTGCATTTCCACGGAACCTTGTGTGCTGTTGGAGTCAATCAAGCCAGGTGGATCAAGTGCGGGGAGAGATTGGTTTAGATGTTGCCTGAAGACTGTATAATCATGAGACAATGGCGTAGATCGCAGGTGGGAACAGCGCACTGACCTTGCTGCAGAGGATTGAGAGGTCCCGTATTTGAGAATGGCTGAGGTACGCCTGTATCGTCGAGTAAGGCCCGATCGGGGATTATGGGATCCGCCTGCGGGAATGCTGAGATTGACTGGCCATCATCAAATCTCTCAGGTATAGGACCAATTGGCATGGAAGAGTAGCCCAATATAGCCCTTTCTTCGGAGCGCATAACGACTGTCACTAAATCTCGCAGGATCTGGACACTCTGAATAGAAAGCAGATGCCGGGAGGATATACTGTCATCTTGCAAGCGTAGGATACGCATGACGCCTTCTTTTGCCTTCTGGCTGGCTAGCGACAGGGGCTGCGCTAATGCGATCGCACAGAGGACGACACCGGATGTGAAGAGGCAGATCCCAATGTGCATCACAGCGTGTGTCTTGCGGCAGGCTTGTAAAAGCTGAGCATGCTGATGCAGCTGGGAGGTTCTTAATGCGGACTCCAGAAGTTGCTGCTGGGAAAACGAGTTGTCCGGATTTGCGCCATCATTTGAATGAGATCCGCGTTTGTTGACACCAAATGCAGCGCTGCGATGGAGGATGATCTGGAGATTATCGTAGGTCAATTGGAGAGCTAGGGCCTGCATTTCAAGGATTCGTGATTCGCTGTTGGGATTATCTTTGTATGTTTCAAGCCGTAGTTTGTCAGGTAGTTGGCTCTTCCAGGAGGACAGTTGGGCATGAATGGCATTGAGACTTTCCAACTGGTTATTCTGGACTCGTCGGCTCAGAAATGGTCCCATGATGCGGTAAAGTTTGAACTTCCATTGGTGGTATTCCAACAATGGCCCTTGTCGACTTGTTGGATGGCTATCTGTTTCGATATCGCTAACAGACGCGACATCGCAGTTCAAATCATCCACTGTGCATGGTCTTCCGAAGGCTATAGCTGCGTATCTGCAGGCACCACTTGAATTAGCCATGACATTGCTGATCAGAATTCAAGATACATGCTTATCTGCAACTTGCAATGCCCACCACGAGCGCCGTCGAGACTCCCGTGACACGTCAGAAAGCCCACGCCACTTTGACTCGTGATGAAGCCCAATGACTTGGGCGATTTCGAGTCCACCTGCCAAGGTTACTAGGCCAGCAGTGGGGCGGCCGTTGAAAAGATAAAAGCTCCCTAGCAACACACATATCTGTACTGTCTCTAGCTTTGGCGAATCAGTGATGGCCAAAAGCCTTTGCTCGATCTGCATAAGGAGACCCCCAGAAAGCTGTTTGAGGCTATCGGCATCCGCATCCAGAGCATTCAACGACCCATAGTGGGCACCCAGGCCAAGGACCAACAGTACAAGCCAAAGAAAATTACCGTTTTCTCCCTCTGGGATAAGAGTGGAGGCCATCAAATTTTCGTACCGTTGCCGGAAGCTTTCCTCGTAAAAGACCTGGCAGAAGACCATCAACATCAAGGTAATAGCGGAGAAACAATGTTGAGAGGGATACCATTATGAACCAATCCACAGACGTGAAGAAATCAGTCATGAACTTATCGAGCACTGTCTTCGGTGGCAAAGGCATGCCTGCTAAGTCTCGCCAAGGGATCGAGCATGTGGCGACAGAAACTGCCGAGTTTATACCTCCTGGCAGAGCTGAAGTGTCGTGAGCCAGACCGCGGCGTTTCTCTTCATCTCCAAGCATCTATCAAATGAGTAGTTATGATGATAGGTTGGGCATGTCAAAACCAACCTGACAACTCAAATCCACGATGTTCGACTCCGGGAGCATGACAGCCTCATGGTAATCACGGCGGATGTCACTTTGGCGCCTCCGGAGAGAATCTCCAACTTCCTGCACAGACTCCGCTTGTCCGGAAATTGCACCTCCACGTGATATACACGTTGCACCGGCTCGCACACATAGCTGGCAAGGACGTTGTTGATCACACTACGGGGATTAGCCTGCATGTCCGAGACATTGGGAGCGGATAGCCAACCCACACCGAGCTTACGTTGACGACATCTCTGACATGCAAAGGAGACTTTTTGGCGTTTCCTAGGTGGATTCATTGCCAGGTATAAAAATATGACAGAAGCAGATGTTGGAGTTCGAGACTGATAAGGTGCACCGGCAATCGGGATTGATGGGGCATACGACGCTAACCGTAAATGCACGGCTTAGGTAAGCGGCATGTCAATACAAAATGGCCATTGGGTATACCGTATACACCAGGTTGGTCTGGAGAACGAAAATAAGCGGTGGACTTTTAAACATTTTAGGAAACTTGTGTTCAGATGGCTATCTAGGTGTCTAGACCTATAAATATTGAATAGGGAACTCAAGTTTAAAGACCACCGAAGTAACTACTATACTGATAGCTGGTGTTTGACTATAGAAATATATAATGAAATCAGTAAAAGCGGATTGATTATGATATACCGGGGATAGTAGATATAAATATATAAATATCAAAATTTGACTAATAAGTGGATACAGGTGCGAAATATCTTTATAAATTCCAGATACTAGTATAGAGGGAGCAACTCATCTTGGAATCGGAGTTTGATAGCTCAAATGCGACGAGACATACGGTCACTTTCGAAAATTATTGTTGGAAGTCCGTTAACCTCCCATGTCCAGTAATAGATAATAACCATAGACAAAGTCTTCTCTCCTTCCTCTCAACCCTCCCTTGCTTCGAATATCAACCCCCGTCAAATTTATCAATTACTCTTCCTAGCCAGCAACGTAACTGGAAGCCAATAAAGCTGACTGCCTCCTGGATGACGACTGTCGTTGTGCAGTGCCTCCAGTGCCTTCTCCCATTGATCCAAGGTGGGAGCAGATGGATCAACCTGCTTCAAATGGTCCAACGCAGCGCCGCTACTCTCCAAAGCCACCATGAAGTTATCCATACAGAGCGGAATAAACTGACTCGACCACGGTTTGTACTGGCAGTCTATTACATCCAAAGCCGGCTCTGCACGTTCCACATGCAGGTCAAGCTGGTCGAGCCACCTAAAGCCGGCCGAGCAAGGACCAGTGAGTAAGCTGTATGTTATAGTCTTCATACCAATTGAAGCCTCACTGAGAGGGTGTCTCCACTTACTGGAAGTCATGCTTCGAGGCGTTGCTCATACGGTCCATCATCCGTCGCACCTGAAGGGCAGCATCGCCTCTAACCACACTGCTACCAAATCTGGCATCCTCCCATTGAAGGTAACCACCGGGTTCTGTTCCATTGATGGTTAATCAGTCTGGTTACAATTTATCGCAGGATGGAGAATTACTAACTAAGCAACTTAGCGGCATTGCGTATCAGCGGGCCGGGGTCGTTGTCACGGATAATGAAGGCCCACATGCGCAGGTGTACTACATCAAATCGATAGGCTAGAGTCGGCGGCGGATCAACGAGGCAGTCTAGCTGCTCAAATTTGAGATTGGGAGGCCAGTATTCTGGGAGAATAAAGTGAGAGTCAGTAACATCGTATGCCGTAACACGAGCCGATGGGGGAAGCTGGGTGGCTAGTTAGGTAGCCCAGATCCTACATGGATGAGTGATATGGGTCAGCTCTGATACTGCGTAGCGCTGAAATGACTATTTACCCTGTTCCTGCGCCAATGTCGGCAATTTCCATCCCGTCTTTGATGGGGATATCAGGGTGTAGGAGATGCTTCGTATGTAGTTGCCATAACAGATGCTGCGATTCAAGCCTGAGTAGCAAAGGGTGTGGCTCAATTAGTGTGGCTTCGGGATTGCATAGGTCAGAGATCTTAATACCTAATTGCTTCGACTCGATCACGCTTCAGCAGGTAGGTGGCAGGGGAGGAACAAGACATAGTCGAGGAGTACTTATGAGAAACAAGTGATGAGAACTAGTCGAAGGAGAATCACGCTCCAAAATGAATACGAGGGGGTTGGATGGATCCGGACTGGGCATTAAATGTTCATGGAAAAGTAAATAGATTATGTATTAGGCTAGAAAGAGTATCGTGCCGCCTAGAAGACTGAACACGCACACAAATGAGCCCGGCTACTAATATTACAGGGGTCCGATGGTAGCGCGAGCACCTATACTGAGAGCCGTGGGGCCGGTTTCAACTTCTTAGGCCGCTTTGTATGCGAAAGGCATCACTTACACCTCTAATTCAGGGTAGGACAGTACTGGTTCCAAGGTAGTTAAAGGTGGCGGTCACAGGCCCTTGTCAAATGTGGGTTATGAAACACAGACATGCAAGATAGAAACCAGTAAAGTAATAGTAGCTGTCAAATAAATAGTTAATCCACAAGGAGTTATATGATGCTCGATACAATGGCTATCTATGTTTCTCTTTAATTGGAAGATGTTTGCAAACAGGACAACTGTTGCCTGTCTTCCTCTGAACTACTAGGGGTCACATGATTAACTTGTAATCTAACCGCAGCTGCATGCATGTGCAGGCACATACAGCCCATAATAATCCATGCATGGCAATTTCTGACACGGCGGACATAATTTGAAAGTTATATTTCGCGGCTGTCCAGTGCCGAGATTGATTAAGCGAGAAAATGTTGGGCCTTGTTCCCCGCCCGCATGGGCACTTGATCACCGTATTCATCCTGTTCGGGGGAGAGCTGTCGCAGGCGACTGGTCGAGCCAGGCTGTCGATGTCGATGGTTCCACTGACTCGGCTTTGGAAAATTGTTGGGCATGGCTGAGAGCTCCATTTTGATTCGAAAGTGCGTGTAGATGGGGCGAAGACAAGGTAGACAAGCTTGAGGAGTTGGTGGCGTTAGATGTTGTCCCGGGCGTTATCCCAGCTTGGTCTGGGGCTGGGAAGCGCTGACCAGCAATAGTGCCAATACTCAACTCCACACAGGTCCAAATCAGGTAAGACACAAAGTTCCACGTAATATTTTGGGAGGTGAGATCGACGTGTAACAGGCAGACAAGGGACAATGGATACAATAGTGACGCTAGCATCCATAGTCAGTAGACTAATACCCTGGTCATGGCCCCACTAAAGGACAAAGAACATACAGGCCTCCTACTAGGAAGCTCAGAGTACCATCTTTCGAAGCAGGGTGATTTGGAGGTGCCAAATTGGATGTAGTGGAATCACCAACATGAACACGTCGGTAATAGTGTCGGGAATGGACTTTCTGAAGAAGTAATCTTTCTCGTTAACAGCACATTGAGTGGGGACCGATTTATTTCAGTAGCCTCACAGGGGGATGCATTAGAGGTATGAGAATCTATGATTACCGGTTATCAGCGAAAGATACTGGCACAAAATGGAAAAGCCCCAAATCTCATACACAAGCAAGGGCCTACGCAAAAGTCACAACCGCCGCCGCTATTGTCACGTCCTTGACGTAGCCAACTCGAAAAATCCGCCGTTAGGATAGAACGATGGATACTTTGATAGAAACCGTTATAATGACGTAAAAAAAAGGTTTCGCCACGATCAGTGATTTGAGAAAGGTTGAAACCGAGCCTGCAGGCGCGACCCACACATGCAGCCCCAAGCCATGGTGGACATCTACGTGTATGGGTAGATTAGCGTACCATCTGAGGCTGGGACGGGAGAGAGCGGGCTCTAGTGCTTACGGAAAGCACAAAGCAAAAGTGACGGAATAGCAATTGAAATCTAGCCCATGGGTGCCCAATATTGACTGTAGTAATGAATAAGACTTGATAGGTAGGTATCAAGAGTATACGAGTGAGACTAGAGCTATCCAATTATCCCACCAAAACGCCGCCCTATCTAAACATCGAGCAAAGAATCACAGGGAGACTGCGAGGAAAGAAGGGCTAGCCGCATATGAAGCACACCATGCAGCGGAGTCAAATATGTATGGTCAATTGGGGCCCAGGCTTTCCCCCTCGTGTGGCTTGCTGCATTTCCAATCCCCGTCGCGGAACGAGTCGTACGGCCCCTCAGTAAATCAGCCTTTTCTTCTAGAATATAAATCTGTCAAGATTTATATTACTACAGGCAATAAATGTCTGCTCCTCTATCGACAGCCAAGAGATAAAGAGGAAGACCAAACGAGACCGAGATGAAGAGCAGATTGGTTGCGAATAATATCGTTCGTTTCGCTAGCAGGGATTCTGTGCGCTACAGCCTTTGCTGCGGGACGATACCGCTCGCCCCTAGAGATTCCTTGTGGGTGGTAGTTATCTTACCCGTATTATGTCTCGCGGAAGCCTGGCTCACTGTGCTCTCAAGTGCCAATCAATCCTTCTGTCTTGAAATATGACGACTCTATCCAAGACGAACAATCATCCAACGAACAAGATGTGGATGAGCCTTTCCCCCGAGCGAAGGCTTCTTTCAACATCCTACCGTTGCTCCCCAAAGGTCTGCCTTTGCCGTATTTCACCAGCTGCACAGCTTGGTACGTTTAATGCAACAGTTCTCATTCAAAGCCCCGGAAAGTCAATAGGTAAGAGTGCGACATAATAGTATGCGACAGGGATAGTGGATGCTGTATGACGTCGCCTCAAGTGATCAAGCCTTCCCCGGCGACGAGCAGCTGCCAGAGACGTTCGCAACTCATCATGTTCGTCATTGTATTGAATTGTTACGTCTTGTGCTAATGTGTCAACATGACTTGACTGTGGAGATGAAGAATGAGACTCTGGGCGGGGTGACTGGATTCGGTACCGAGCACGAATGCAAGAGCTGGGATGATCTAACCGAATGGACGCCGGAACGAGAATCATACGGGCTGAATACAAAGAGGATTGGGCTTTGAGGGGACATTCCTTTCCGGTAGTCCAAAGTTGTGTGCGCCGACACGTAAGTCCCTTTTGCGCTACATGGCCTTGTCTGTATGCTTCCAGATTTAACTCGTTGCGATTCTAACCAATCATCCTATTCTTGATAGTGGAGTCTACTTATACAAGCAGGACGAGCCAGTCGAACTCATCAGGGATACACAGGCCTTTGCTGCTTTCAGCGTTGTTATACTCCAAAATATGTCAGCCAAATACGGCTGGACGACAAAACTGTCTGGACTTTGACCCGAGCACTCTGGTATGATGTTGCGCGCTTTAGAGCTCGATGTTTGCTATTAACTATCGACGTCGATCATGATCTCTACACAGATCAGGCGAGTTTGAAGTGCGCATGAGTGTTATTTATATATCTAGTACCTTGCTCTTCTGAAGTCAAGAAACGGTATGTGAAGTCTTCCTCTGCATCAATCCACCACGGATACACTCACACCAGATCTCATGGATGGAGTTATTCATAGCATCTAGTGCAGAGCACCGGAAGTACCTCATGCTCCAAGAGTGAGTAAACCGTCTCACAGAGATTTATACGTATACCTGTCTAACAATTTGAAACTACTTCCCACAGAAAGTACCTCTCAGTTCGCACTCAGCGGGGTGCTTGAGGCTATAAGCGCTCTTGCTCGCGCAAGACCAGCACTCCATCGATGCTCTCTCAAGTTTTACATCCATATCCACATCTCCACCTACACTGTGATTCATACAGCAATATTCAAAGGACAGAACCTCTTTACAACATCGTACATATCCTAGTACTTGTTAATGCAAGACAAAACAGGTTGGCATTGTTTTATGATGATCTGCCCTCCGTTTGAATGCAAATCTACGCTGGCATCAATGCCCTGCAATATGTCGTCGGCCGCGAGGGATATGACATCGCACAGAAACACACGGCTTATACTGGAGCCCAAGTGCGCTCCCCCAATGCAACACGCTACCTCGTCCCTGCTCTGCTCTCTCAGAAGAACCTGGTGTCGCTCCCCACTGGTTCTGAGCCGGCTATCTGAGTACCCAGGTAATCCATTACTGCTGCCCTATCTTGGCGTGCTGAGGGTGCCTTGCTGTTGAGCAGGACCATATCCAGGGGATTTACGGTAGAAGAGACGGCTATTTATATCGATACCGCAGGCAAAGTGGGGTCCGCAGAGCGCCTACTGCCAAGGTTGGAAGCAATGGGCAGACCCCTGGAGCTGTTAGGTCGCTTAGAGTCATGAAGGCTGATAACGGGGAGTCTATTTCGCACCGTCGATTTGATGCAGTGGATTATTCGTTGCGGGATTACGCAAAAGGTGGCAGTGCCGCTGTTAGCGTCGGTCGAGGGGATACAGGATATAGTTCGACGATCACGCGAGAGTACATGGAGCCTCTAAAAATACACGATTGGGAATCTGAAGCTTCCCATATGCCGCCCACTCAGTGTCTGTCATGAGGGAGGATGGGAAGAGAGCACGAAATCTTACAACACCTGTGGATCCCAAAGGTGAGGGTATTATAGAGGCAATGCTGCACCTATGGCTCACATGAAATACTATAGTATCAGACAGAAATGGGCTGTCCTAGCTTAAAGTTGTGGAAACGTTGATCATGTATATTGAAAGCGTTCATACGGGATAAGCCCAACGGTCATCCGTCAATACTCTTCATGTCACCAGTGCGAAAATACCAAATCATAGATGTCAACTCGATTTCACAACTAGCGAAGGCGAGGGAACAGGTTCAGCGCGTTACCATAATTAATCTTCTCCGCTGCTTCATCCGAAATATCGGCTTCAGCCAGGTCCTTGCTGAAAAACTTGATGGAAGTGGTTGGTGCATAGGGAAAATCACTACCATAGAGAATGTGATCCGGTGAAGCGAATTTTTGCAGAAGTGGTAGAGCAAAGTTTGCGTCCGTAAGCGCCAGGTCATAGTAAAACATTCGTGCATTTTCCAGAAAGTGCTCGCGTGTCATGCTGGAGAGCCTGCAGTCCTTCAGGGCAATCGCTGGACGCAACGCAAGGTAAGGCAAGGTACCGCCGCGTGGGAGAGTATAATCTTGCAGTTCTTGTACTTGCGGACCGTATCGGTGGTGATCAGATCGACAGCTGTCCGAGTGGTCTCGTGCGGATAGTCAATAAAAGGCTGTGGAAGCATCTTGTTGATGAGGTTCGTATCCACTGCATGGGTTGGATGGATAAAGACCACTGCGGCGCGCCGATCTAGCTCCTCCCAGATAGGCTGGATATCAGGATGGCCTAGGTAGTAGTTTGCGTCTCCATAGCGGGTGAAAAGGGTTACTCCATCGGCTTGCAGCTCATCAAGGGCATATCGAATCTCCTCTAAAGCTGCTTGGGTATCGAGAACATCGGGCAGCGCAGCAAAAAACCCATACTTCTTAGGGTATTTATCCCTTAGCGTTTTGCCAAACTCATTGCATTCTCTCGCCACCTGGGCAGACTTGGCGCCCTTCACGATACCCGCACCTGGTGCGGTGACTGATAAGATGGCCGTTTCAATGCCACAGTCATCGCAAAGCTGTTGGTCAGCCTCAATGGACCAAGAGGGTGTGGGAAATCCAGAAGGATCGCCACCAGCCTCCTCGAGGGCTGTTCGATCAATCAGTCTGATTGCAACTGCAACATATGCCTCAAGGGAACGCACCTTTCAGGTAGGCGGGGGGTAGATAATGATGATGAACGTCAATACGGCGTGCCATGGCGAAAGTTTTCAGCTGGGAAGATTAAGGGAAAGATGAACTGCCGAGAGAGACCTGACCAGAACGGAGATGGGAATCCACTTTTATATATTCGCACCGTCTGAGGGAAAGTCGGCACAAAAGGTCCGGCGAGTGCGTCATCAAGTGGAAGCACTGCCGGATGCACGGCCCCCCTGGAGAAGCTTTCTTGGCCATCTTGATCTGCCTGTCGTGGCGGCAATGGGGTTCCATGGATCCACCTATGCAGTGTACAACAGGGTCTGTGAAGTTGTGCACCAAGAAGCAGCGCAGTGGATCCCGGGAGTTGCCCTTTGCGGCAATCGCCGGGAGATGTGCATTCCACATCGTCCAAGGAGGAAATCTCCCGACTCCACCGCGCCCTCGCCCTGCGATATGACGCGTGTGAAATCTCTCTCCTTCACGCATGCCGATGTACCCGGTCAAGGGTGTCTTTGTAGGTTTTATGAGAGAGCCCATGCCTCTATTCGTTCACCGGCTGATCCACCGTTCCGTCCCCGAGCTGGAGAGGATATGGTCGAACTTCCACCCAGCTCTTCCGGATGTATTGATGATTCATTGTTACAACATTTGCATAACGGGTCTGTACAGACTCCTAACTGCTACTTCAGGGTTCCTCATCGTTTCGGGCCGGCCCCACCAGGTCCAGACGCGAGAGGTTGTGCTTGGCGCGAACCATCCATGGTCGATAACAGCCTGTTTTGCCAGCACCACCAGCAGAATAATGCAATAGGGATACTATCCCATAAAAGGATTAACATAAACTGGAGCGGAAGGGGTAGATGGGTAAGCACGAAACACTAGTCGCCAGGAGGACCAGGTCGCCGAGAGCTAATCTGCAGTGCCTCCACGATGTAAAACCTCGACTGCCTGAAATACGAAGCCAAGGTCACTGCCAACCGATCACATGTTGAAAAACCTGGGGTAGAGAGCGCGCTGGCCGCCAATGAAGACCAGTAAACTCGATGTTTTGAATGTGGCCACTGGAGCAGACGCAGAAATGCGAGATGGTCGTGGCGGGGGTGGGGCCGTGTGGGAACTGATGCTGCAATAGTCCCCACATGAGGTTATTATCTGGAGACGGATTGAGCATCATCTTGACTTCCCACCCCCTTACACCTACGCGTTGATTGAGATACGTTGCCGACAATGGATACTCCCAGTAGCTTTGGTATCCTGTCAGACTTCCACTACACGCCATGTTCGATGAGCTCGTCAGGGCGGCCCTTGTCCCGCCGCGCCTGCAACGAGTGTCGCAGAAAGAAGACGCGATGTGACTCGCGCCATCCGAAATGTTCCCTTTGCGCCAATACCGGCAGCACTTGTACCTACCGGAAACAACAGCAGAGACAGCGCGTACGCAGGCTTTCCCCAGCCGCCAGCAGTTCCTCCGTAGACATTCTGGAGTCGGCAGACAGCGGGCTCAACACGAGACAGGGCCTCTTCGGACTGGAGGGGTTCGATGCATTGGATGATCTCGACACTATCCTTTGCGACTTAAAGAGCATAGATGACCAACCAAGTGGGTCTCCAGAACCCATGGCCGCATTCGGTTCTTTTGGAGCATCGCCTGGGCTAAAATCAATGCTCCAGGAATGCTTTCCAACTCCAGTGGAGCCAAGCCCAATGGAATTCGGAACCTCCAACTACGATAGCTTGTCAATCAGTTCAGACCTCGCGGACGAATTGATTGACTTGTACTTCGACAAGGTCCAGGGGATTTGCCCACTCTTCATGCGGGAAAAGTTCGACGAGGATTACCGACCTCGCGGAACGTGCCGAGACGAGCGATATTGCAGATTATCTCCAGTAGCCATGTTTGTCCTCAACGGTATGTTTGCGCTTTCTGCAAGGTACAGTTCATCGGACCGGTTTGTTGGTCTCGACCCCCACTGCCGAGACCAGCAGTTTGTGAAGCAGGCGATGGACTTGTGGGAGTTCATACAGAAGGACTGGAGTCACTCAGTCCGGAATCTACAATGTCTGCAAGGTCTCATCCTGTTGGCATTTAACTTTTTACAATCTGGCCCTTCGGAGACTGCCTGGAATCTAACTGGAACTTGTGTTCGCCTCGCATATGACCTGGACCTACATACGATGGATGCCGACAAGATTGATTCCGAAGCAATCAACTGGCAGGATGGGCTTCAACACCGGTGGGCTTACCTTGAAGAGAAGCGTCGGGCTTGGTGGATGGTATGGGAGATGGATACATTCTCATCCGCGATTTCCTCACGACCCTATGGGATTGACAGTCGAGTAGTCCGGGTTTTACTTCCTGTTTCAGATAAAGATTGGACCAACAAATCTCAAGCACGGTCTGTTTCGCTAGGTTCAGCTAGTGAAATGCCATGGCAGGGCATCATTGGCTCGTCGAACCAGTGTGAACGTGCATGGTTTCTCGTGTGCTTGGCCGTACTCAGACGCACTACCGATACGATATTGTCCGGAGCGTCGGTTCAGGAACTGCAAAAAGCGGAAGATACCATTTCATGTGCATTCCTGGCCTTGCCATCTCCATTCTACGACCTGCCATTATCGAAAGCAATCTGGCAGTCTGATGTGGTAAAATACAACTGGATGGCTTGCTCGCTGATTGCACTCAATTGGTATGAAACTCCGAGTGGAATTGGGAAGATGTCGCACCGCTAACACCATTGGATCTAGGGCTCGCAGTCGGATTAACTTCGAACTCCACGAGAAGCTGAGAATGGCATCTGCAGTTCAATACCAAGCCCATGGTCACAAGCCAGCTCGTATATGTTTATCGACGATTGTCGATGTCCATCAGTTGATACGACTCCTCTCACCTCAGGCTCTGTCTGTATGCTCTCCTTTGATATTCTGTGCGGTAGTCGGACTGGGAGCCGTCCATGTTCCCGAGGGTTACGCGCAAAATTTGAGGGCTCAATTATCTTGTCTGTATGGCGAACATACCAGCTTGGTTTTGTGCAGCGTTGGGAGGCATTGGGCTATAGGAAGGGCGCTTTTGGGTATGTATCAGTTGGTCCATTGCGTGAGCCTGAGATGAGGCTGACTGCCCGTCACTTCAGAGGTTATCGAATTTTCTAAAAGCTCAGATTGGCACAGAATCAGCACTCCGGACAGGTGTTGTAGAGGGAAATTCGTGCCCCAGTGGAGAGCACTCCTACGACCTGTATGAGCCGTCGATGTAAGAAGCTAGGATACACTACAGAACAACATCTACCTGTTTTACTTAATATTTCTATCACATCATGTGGCCACTAGGCCAATAACCATTGCGGTTGCGAGGAAGATATATATAATGAATAAAATGACATATCTCACGGAACATGCACTTGGCCAAGCCTGTTGATTATTGAGCCCTGCGAGACCAATTTGTCTCTAGCCGACTATATGACGTGATTCACAACCAGATTGAATACTCAGTAGACTGTCTAACTCCGTGCATTGGGACCCTTCTTCGACGCGTACCTATGCTTTTCATTATCGCTCCCACATCGAGCGGGCACTATCGAAAATGGCTTTGAAATTGGAACTGCATCAACAACATTCCTCATTAAGAAATAATTGGTCGGTCCATAGCTCAAAGCTGAAATTGTATCAATCGTAAATATACACGAAGGCTTCAACCTGGGTTGGCCTGAGGCATATGGTGACAACTGACACCCAATGGTATTGGCTCCGCTCCTAGAGGCATGATCAAACACCCTTTGTGTATCTATATCCTGTGGGAGTTTCAAGTGGACTGGGAAGGCTACTCGTGGTCGAATACCAAGGTTTCCATATACGACTTTGTTGACTGAAAGTAGTTTGTATTTATAAAATGATAATCTAGCCATCTTAAAGTATCTAAACCCGTGAATACTGCCATGCCCTTGAACTCGGCACGAGACGTCTTAAGGTCCCGATAATAGACATGCATAAACGGATGAGAACGGCATTGTATATATCAAACGACGAGGGGAAGTTATAGCGAACCTTTTTGCGAAGGTCAGCTTGTTGAGCTTGTTGGGGAAGGTTTCCTGTTCGATACGTGTTTTGATTCGAAGTGAGAATGAGTTCGCTGGGAGCTTGAATGAAGTTTCTAATTTCTTCAACTATTGCTTATCGTCTTCCGCTGCTTATCAGAAGAGCGTTTTCGATCTCCTCGCGGCTTGGGGGTTGGGACACATTGCTTCGCCAAGAAACATGATGATCTGGGCGGATCAGGACGACATCACGCTCCCAGACCTGTCGTGCATGCTTCTCTTGAGGGAGATGGAGCACAGAAAGTGGTATTTCCAGGCGAGCGGCAACGGCAGAGAACTCTTCACCCACACGTCCCTCCTCAGTAAAGTCTACCACTGTGAAATCGAACCCAAAACGCTCGAAGATCGAGGTTACGCCGTCGTTCAGGTACACATGGGGTGCACGAGCACCAGGCCAAGTCGAAGGAAAGTAGTCTCTGGCCGTCCAAGGCGGCTGTTCCTTTGGATCGCCATCCGGAACAATAACGGGAGACGTTGTGTGTCGATAGCCCATTTCGATGCCAAGATATTTATTTTCGCCGTCGTGGGCGAGAACGTGCGATCGAATCCGCTCACGAAGGTCTTTTCCAGCAGGCGTCTCACTTCGTACCGTCCCCGCGGGCTCGCCGCGGACCCAACTGACGTATTTCATATGCATCTCTACGTTGGTGCCGGACATCGCGACATTTCGAATCGCCACGGGGCGTCGCTCAATCTCGTATGATTCGAGTAACCTTTCTCCGCATTGTCCTTGTAGAACCATTGCTAATTTCCAGCCCAGGTCGTAAGCATCCCCCACTCCCGTGTTCATACCGTACCCCCCAAATGGAATATTCTGGTGAGCTAGGGTCTCTGTCAGTCTCCAATTCACGAGATTGAGTCCAGTGAAATACCTGAATCCCCAGCCAGAAGTACCCTCCGGCTCTTTGTCGAGTAGGTGTCCGCAACGGACAGATTGGCATTCCACGCACTGGTTACGAGGATTTTGTCAATTGTAAATCTTTGCGGCTGGCCCGCATCTCCCAGAGCCGCAAACACCATCTCCTCAGCATTCAGAGTCTCTAAATCCGCATCAGGTGCCAGGGGCATATGGATCGTCCAGGTATCCTTCTCGTCCTGGTTGATGACGCAAGCCCCCGTGGACAGGAACAAATGCCAGAATTGACCCTGACGATGCAGAATGCCTAAATCCGAGGACTTGAAGTGAACCAGTAAATTCCGGTTGCCACTGCAGACGAAGTTCGGTTAGTCATGACGAGTGTCCCATATTGCCGGATCTCACACTTACATCGGAGCCCCTGTGAGGTTGATGCCTACTGATTTTCTCACTCGACTTCCGGCACCATCACAGCCGATGACATACTGGGATCGGACGAGATGTTCGACGCCAGTATCGACATGCGTGATCGTCGATTCTACGTGGTCCGCATGTTCCGTGAGACGCTCAAACTTCATCCCCGAGAAGGACTTCACCAGTGGATGCGCTTCAACGAGTGGTTTGAGCCAGGCTTCGAACAGTATCTGGGAGCATCGGAGCCACGCTTGGCTGGGCATGGATCCGTCGTTCCTTTCATGAATCCGCTGGCGCATTTCTAATGGCGATGGTAGATCCTACCGTCTCAGGTTAGTTTGCGTTCGTCCTTGTCTCCCGGAACAGCTCCAAATACCCATTTGGCTATCGCCTCGCCTCCCTCCGAAAGCCCGGTGGAGAACACGCAATTCAAAGAAAACTTCTCGTCGACTCCTGGTGGGATCGTATTAGAGATATTCCACTGGTTGATGGTATCATTTGAGGGAGCTAGCAAACCTAATTTTTTGAGCTCGTCCGCGAGCCCAATATGGTTCAATAATTCCATCGAACGCGCATTGGTGATATCCATCTTCGGCCATCTCGTCGTGTCGTGGTTGCGCTCAACTAAGATGGTTTGAACCCCACGCTTGGCCAGCTGATAAGCTGTAAGCAATCCAATGGGACCTGCACCGACCACGAGCACAGGGCCCTCCGCCAGAAGGGATGGATTCGAGGATCCCATCAGGTTATCCGTGGCTGAACGACGCCTAAAACGATCTGTAACTTGGGGTCAGCCCCGGGCACTCCACAACTCCAACGTAGCGCAATTACATAATCGGTCGGTCACTTAACTATGCCTCTGAGCTCAGAGCGTAGCAAGAGAGAGCGGAAGAGAGAGAGAGAGAGAGAGAGTGTGTGTGTGTGTGAATGTCTTACGCAACCTGTAGAGGCATTTGCGTATGATCATATATGTAGTCCCCTGGGTATTAATAGGTGCCCGCGGGGTTTGCCACGATAACGCCGAATCCCTCTGTGACACCATGTTCGAGTCGATCTACATTACATGAAAACGGTAATCGCCCGGGCCCAAGGCATTTGAAGCGCTGTACGAAATGCCTCTCCACCGATTGGTAGAGAGCATCCGAAAAAACGGCCAACGGGCGTGGGGACGGCGAACTTCCCGTTCGGGAAGATGCCGTGCGGGTGAGCTTGTGGGGATGTGGGTTCATGATCGTCAACCCCAAGGGGATGTCCGGAGTACATAAATTAGCGCAAAATGGATCCAGAAAGTCGACATGCTTCTAGTACTGCTTTCTTGAGGCGTGCAGTCGTGTGCTATCAATCAACACAGAACCAAGACCCTGCCTCTTCACCAGACATTCTCTCTCCACCATGGCGTTGCTAGCCCTCAAGCTGACGCTTGCGGTGGTTCCTCTTGCGATCCTTTATGCGCTGCTCTTCCTGGGCCGACGAGAGAAACACCTTCCACCTGGTCAGTTATGACTTGCTACCTTCCGGTCGTACTATCAACCGCTCATCTGAGATCTTTGCAGGGCCTCCAACCGTGCCAATCATCGGGAATGCCCATTTGATACCGCGCAAGGGAGCACATTTCACGTACGGACTGGTCACCAAAGAGATGATACACATTTCAAAAGGGCGGACCGCTAACGGTTCTCCATAGATTTCTTGAGCTAGCTAAGAAATATGGCGGCATGTTCTCTCTGAAAATCGGCTCCAACACATTGATCATTCTCAGCGATCGGCGAATTATTAAAGAGGTGCTCGATAAAAACAGTTCGATCTCCAGCAACCGGCCCGACCTATCAGTGGCTCACACCATCACCGGTGGAGATCATTTGCTGTTCATGGACGCCGGGGCAGAATGGAGACTGTTTCGACGGTTGTTGCACCAAGAATTCATGTCCTCTCGGTGTGACAAGGTACACATCGAAACCCAAAACGCGGAGGCCGTCCAGATGCTACGAGACTTCATTGTCTATCCCGATCAGTATATGCTCCACGCCAAACGGTTTAGCAATAGTATTATCATGAGCCTCCGTGAGTGTCATTATCATCCACGTGCGATGAATCAGTGATCTGACCTGCTCCGTCTTGGTAGTTTTCGGTATACGAACGCCGTCCTTTGATACACCACACATGCAAAAGCTCTACCATTTAATGGATCACTGGTCGAAAATCATGGAGATCGGATCTACCCCCCCGGTCGATGTGTTCCCGTTTCTTCAATACATCCCCGAACGATTCCTCGGGAACTGGAAAGGCCGAACAGCGGAGGTCCAGCAGGAAATGCTGGGTCTCTACGGGGAGATTGTGAGACATGTCATGGACCGATGGAAGACGGCTGGTAGCCGCGGGTGTTTCATGGATAACGTTTTGGACCAAAACGGGAAATTGGGTCTCAACGACCACCAGCTGTATTTTCTCGGTGGGGTGGCATTGGAAGGGGGATCAGATACCTCTTCTTCGGTGATCAACACCTGCATGCATGCTTTGGTCCAGTGGCCCGAGATCCAAAAGAAAGCTCAACAAGAGATTGACAGCGTTGTGGACGAGACCCGGACCCCGGTCTGGTCCGACTTTGCCAACTTGCCGTACGTGACCCAGGTGGTGAAGGAGGCGCAAAGGTGGCGTCCGGTGGGTGGTCTGGGTATACCCCATGTTCTGACGGAGGGTAAGGAAGCATTGAATGTTCCTCACTGGCGTTTTGGATGGTCACTGACGAAAGATCAGATCAATGGGTCGATGGCAAGCTGTTGCCCAAAGGAGCCACCGTGATGACGAATGTGTGGGAGTTGCATCATGACGAAAAGCGGTATGCCAATCCCGATGTCTTCGATCCCGAGCATTATGCCGGCTATACCAAGGTGGCTCCCGAATATTTAACGGCCAGTGATCCTGAGGCTCGAGATCACTACGCCTATGGGAACGGGCGCCGAGTGTGTCCCGGCATCCACCTGGGCGAGCGGAACATTTTCTTGGGCATTTGCAAGCTCCTGTGGGCGTTTGAGTTCCACAAGGCGGTAGATGCCAGTGGCAACCCGATTGAGACTGATATCAACCCGACGACTGCATACAGCGAAGGGTTTATCACCTCGGCCAACAAATTTCCCTGTCGCATCGTCCCGCGCTCCGAGAAGCGCAAGGCGACCATCATGCGCGAGTTTGCGGACATGGAGCGTGTATTCTCCAAGTATGAAACTGTATAAATGCTGTTCAGCGGTGCAGGTCACTGGGGCGTGTGATTTAAAACCCCGCAATTGGTTGTTTCCATTGTACTTGCTAAGAACTGAGTGTATGCAAGAGTGCAACAGGTTTCCTTCTCTTCGAGTTCATGTATGTAGTTCATCACAATCAATTTGCAAACGGATGGCATCCGGCACGTTACTTGCTGCTGGGCGGTGAGACGCGGAATTGCGTATGTCGTACATACATACATACATACATACTTTGGTACCGAGTAGTAACCGTAGTACCTAGGTACCGAGTACTAGTGATTAGTGCTCCCGAGGACTAAGTCTGGAGCACAGCGAACCGGGTGTTACGGTATGTCGTGTATTGTGACCGAGGATCAGTGCGGGGCAACACTGCAAATACGGCAATACTAGCGTGGGCACGGGACCCACCGTATTCCCCCCCCGTATCGTATCGTTGGCTCTTCTTTTTCTCTTTGGCCTTGACTACGAACTACTGCGAACCCCCTTTGCCGGGCTCTAAGGGAAACTAATCGATCATCCCGTCGCCGTAGTCCCCTGGTTAAATCCCGACGCAATACATTGCAATGCCACCACATGCGAAACGCGAGAGGTGTCGCCGACGCAAGACCTCCCAGGAGGAAAGGATTTGTTCTATCTGCTCTCAGTCGTTTAAGAAGGCGGAGCACCTGGCCCGCCATTTCCGCTCGCACACCAAAGAGAGGCCGTTCACGTGCCAGAGCTGTGGCAAGGTCTATGTCAGACAGTACGCCTGCCCGATGTGACTATGCATGAGTCCGGTTAATGGATACTCAATAGGGACTCCTTATTACGCCATTCGAGATTGCAGCACGGCCATACGCAGCCGAATGGACCAATGAACGAGGGTACTGGAATCACCATGGGAGGTCCCCCCTTGCGTGGCCCGAATGAGCACGCGAATGCGTTGATGGAAACATCCGCGATGGCCGGTGTCCGACAAACGGTTCCCATACCAGAGCAGCTCGCGCTAGAGCTGCAGGTACGACCTGAGGACAACACAGGATCGGGGTTAACACCCCCGTTTGGACCGTATACCGTAGACTTAGCCGCTGAAGACGATCCAACTACTCGGGAACCGGATGTTCCCATGGCCCAATTTGCCCCCACGGAGATGGGCGATTCCGTCCCGGCTTGCAATGGCCCTTGGCCTGTAGTATGGGACGGACCGGGGGATCTGGACTGGACATCGTGGTTAACAGGAACAGATTTTGACCTGGATGCGCTGAATCAGACATTGCTAGAATCGACGAGCTCCGTGCAAAAGATGCTGTCCGCGGCTTGGGCGGCACAGCGGGACCGATTCAGAGAAGATGGCATACCTTCTCCGAAACCGCGATATCATCCGGCCAGACCACACCAGATCAGAGCGATCCTGGCAACAATCACCCTGGTCAAATACGTATTTTTGCAGATGAATCCTACCGACAGAGACTTTCCGAGAGCCTCAGACAACAGATACAACCTGGAATTCTACCGTCTACTGGATTCCTGGTAAGTGCCCTCGATCTGCCAGTCCATGATAAGGACTTCATTCCCTGACGGTCCCGGCAGAACCTTTGTCTCCAGGCTTATTTTACACACTTCCAGTCCATCTTTCCTCTGGTTCATATGCCAACATTTCAACCCTCCAAGAACAATGCCATTCTTCTCCTCTCCATCTGCTCGATCGGGAGTCTGTTTCTGGGGTCATCGCGGGCCATGGCCCATGGCATAAGCATGTTTGAAAGGATGCAGAAGGCAATCTTGGCCTCGGTATGTTCTTATGCACTTTTCATGACGTCGGTCGCTGAGCAGGTTCTGACGGGTATGGCAGTGGGAGACCCATATCTCACAGCGCAAGGGTTTATCGATTATTTCTTTACAAGCTGCGCTCATAGGTCAAACCTTTGGCCTTCTGGTCGGGGTAAGCTACAACTTCACGTTCTGATGCCAGTGTTCCTCTCTACTGATCAGTATGCAGAGACCCAAGGACCTCACTGGAATTGATATCTTCCATGGAAGCATAATTGCCGTGAGTCCTTGGAACCCAGCGAGAGAGTTTGCTGACTGACGGAGACAGTGGGCACGCAAAGCGAGGCTATTTAGCCTTACAGAGGATGCCAGAGCATGTAGCATAAATATAGAGGAGAATGGTGAGGAGCTAGAAGGAGCATGGAGAGCCTGGGTGCGAACGGAGGAGAAGAAACGGTACGAGGCTGGCGACCCACCATAGGTCTCAAAATTACTTATTCCTTGTCTAGTATTATTTTGGGCATCTACATTCATGATGTGGAACTGGCTAAGCTGCACAATCACGAACCCATTCTCCGACATGGAGTTGAAAAGGTGCCAAAATTATCGCCGCCAAACGTGTTCACCGCGCCCAACGCAGCCGCGTGGAAACGGGAGCTGATGGCCGTACAGGCGCCAGTGCATATCCCACCATCTCCAGCCGACACTGATCCACTGTCACTATCAGTCGAAACCAGACCAGGCGATGATTTCGAGTGCTATGCGATCCTTGAGTCCATCGGCGCGTTGGCCCACGAGGATCGCGACGCTGGGGGAACTCGGCTGGACATTGTTCAAAACTGCCAGAGGTTATTAACCCAGTGGTATCTCAGACGCTTCAACCACAGCCCACGAAACGCTCTGCACGCCAGCAAGATCCAGGACCCCTTCTGCCTCATGATCCTCTGGCACTCGACTTTCATGCACCTCTATACCCGTTTTGATGACCTGGAATGTGCCTGCGGACGAGAGGGCGAGGCGGTATCGCAGCAAAAGCGCCCCTACGCAGAAGCCTGGGTCAGGTCAGTTGATGCAAAACGGACGCTCCTTCACGCAACCTTGGTCCAGAGACACTTCCAGTCCATTGCGGTTGGTGCGGAGCCAGCAGTCCATGTGCCAATGGCATTGTACTATTGTGGCATTGCCTGGGCATCTTTTACTCAGTTCCGGATGCTTGAACCGCCGATCGATGGTGATTCTGAAGAATTGGATTTCCCGGAGCTGAGAATGTTAGGTGTCAACCAGACGAAACTCTTCTGTGAAGTGACTCGCGGAATCCAACTGGGGAGACTGGAATCCGGGCCCCTTTTCGTTATTATTGACCTGTTAGGGAAGATAAGCCATTGGAAAATATCTGAAAACCTTTCAGCTACCCTACTGGCTTTTGTGGAGAATTTGCCAGATCTATTTTGATATTCCTAGTTCGTCTTTAGTAGTGCCATCAAGGTTGACAAAAACAAGCAGTCGATCGAATTTCTTCATACTCCATAGACTGATGTTTCTAAGCAGTACAGATTCTGATACATCCTCTTATAATGTGTTTTGATACCTGTGGCAGAGTATAAAGCATACTTGGTGGTCAGCCTTAGCTGGGATCGGCAGCCGTCAGATAAGATTATGCCGTTTTGCAAATCAAAATGCTTGCACTCACCATGTTGGATTGGCAGATGCCCTCTCGATGTGAAAATATCGTAAGAGTTGCAGGGTCGGTTTGCCATTGCTAGGAGAAGAGAAAGGCAGGTCGGGATGGATGGAGGATGTAGTGGCCGTATGCCTGGACATCCGCAGGGATATTGTCGGCACTGCCTTTAAAGGTTGTGGGATCTATATAATTACCGTGGAACTGTGAAGTAGCACGAGGTATGTATACCCTAGCTGTCTCTATTCCTTGTGTGGCAGAAGGCAGATGCTCAATGATACGGCAAGAAATCGATAGGTCCCACCATGCATTTTGAGGAATGACCTTGGTACTCTATAGTGAAACTACTCATAGCTAATCGTATTCTCCACCTTCGCCACACCCCCGAGTTCCACTTCAACCACGTCGCCATCTTTCAAAAACTCCTTCCGAAAGAACCCTACGCCCGATGGTGTGCCCGTCATAATAACGGTACCCTTCCTCAGCGTCGTGCCCCTTGATAAATGACTAACAATTTCTCTCACCCCCCAGATCATATCACTGGTATTGGTAGTTTGCTTTGGCACGCCGTTCACCCTCGTGACCAAACTGAGTCCCTGGGGATCTTTGATTTCCTGGGCGGCGACGAGAACATGTCCGATCGGTGCGAACTTATCGAAGGACTTGGCATAACAGAACTGGCCCCCTGACGCCTCTGGGAGCTGGAAGTTGCGAGCAGAGAGATCGTTTCCGGCGGTGTAACCGAGAACATAGTCTAAGGCGTCCTCTGCCGAGATGTTTTTGGCATCCTTCCCGATGACAACGGTCAGTTCACCTTCGTAGTCGAGGTGTGATTGAGCGTCGGGATGGATAGGAATGGACTCGAAGGGACCCGCGAGGGCATCGGCAGGCTTGGTGAAAACAGGCGGATAGGTTGGGACAGTCAGCTGCGGAGTGTACTCTATTAGTGACGGTTCACAATATGTGACGCTAGGGGTTAGTATGTATAGGTAGTTGTTAGGAAACTTACATTGGCTTCTTTGGCATGTTCCTTGTAGTTGAGCCCGATACAGATGATGAGGGGAGTATTTTCAACTGGGGATAGAAGCTGAAGGGCTATTAATGATGGCGTTCCCGTCAGAGCCATGGACGTGATCAAACACCTACACTGCTAACATGGTGGACCTTGTCTGTCAAGACCAGTCCGTCGAAGGGGTTGCCGTTGAACTGTTGCACAGTAAACCGGTTGTTTTCGGTCCTGATGAGTTCTCCATAGTACTGTTGTTCACCGGTTGCAAACCGGACAAGGTTTTTGAAGGCCGCCATTTGGTCGTGAGGTATGTTGAGGATCTGAGTGAGCAGAAGTAAAGCAAGCTGAACAGAATTAGATGCGCCAACTGTACGATCGGGAGGGTCGAACTTATACTTAATGCGTAACTTTTAATTCGGCTTGACGATCAGTGGGACCTATCGATTCCTGTGGGACCGTCTCTCGGCCAACATAGAACGACCTCGGGAATATTCTTGCGGCGTGGAGTAGCAGCATTGACCTGGAGGCAGTGGCCCCCGAGTTAGCGGAGATATGTTCGGCAGAAGACTTATGTGTCTATTAGGCGCTTTTATGGCAACTGATTATGTAGAACCTGCAATTCCGAGCGCCCTTAGAGCCACCCGACCCATCCCATAGGTCCCACATGTGTGGTTGTTACCCCAGGTATTGCCCCATATAAGAAACATACCCCATACATCGTAGGATTCCTATGTCCAGTGGAACAGATTTGGCACATTTCGAATAATCATCACTCAATGGCCTCTCAAGCATCTCCACGCAAGCTCTGGGAGCACCCAGACCCAGAGTCCACCCAGATGGGACAATTCCGCCGCGCTCTAGAGAAGCACACTGGGCAACACTTCCAGGTCGGTAAATGAATTGGCTTTGTTTTCCAGCCTGTGATAATTAACTGAAGATAGACATACCATGACCTCTACAACTTTTCCATTACCCAGCGAACCACCTTCTGGGACTTCTGTTGGAAATACTCCAATCTTATTCACGAGGGGACCTACACCTCCGTTGTCAATGAATCCGCCCGGATGGATAGCATTCCTCATTGGTTTTCGGGGATCCGGCTGAACTTTGCGGAGAACCTACTTTTCTCTGCGTCCGGGCATGGTAGATCCACTATAGGGAAGGAAGACGAGAAGATCGCCATTGTTGAGGTCCGCGAGGGCGCGGCCGGCGTGCCTCTTACGTGGAAAGAACTCCGCAGTCGAACGGGCCGGTTAATACATGCAATGAAAGCACATGGAGTCAAGAAGGGCGATCGCATCGCCATCTGTGCCAGTAACAGCATCGACACGTTGCTAGTATTCTTGGCTACCACTGCCCTCGGTGCAATTTTCTCTTCCAGCTCAACGGACATGGGCGTGAAGGGGATCTTGGACCGACTGTTACAGATTCGCCCTCGCCTGTTGTTTATGGACGACCAGGCCGTGTACAATGGCAAGACAATCGACCTGCGATCAAAGATGGCGGCGGTTGTCAAGGGCATGCAGTCCGTGGGTGAGTTTCAGGGAATTGTCTCCCAGTCACGATTTGCTTCTCGACCATTAAATGTGAACCATGTGCCGAAGGCGCAGCCCATTGCGGCATTTTTAGCCAAATCAGCTAGTGACTCCCTGGAATTCGAGCGAACCGCATTCTGTGATCCTTTCCTCATTGTTTATTCGTCTGGGACAACCGGCCAGCCGAAATGTATTGCACATTCGGTTGGAGGAGTACTCATCAATGCCTACAAGGAGGGGCAATTGCATATGGAATTGGACGAGACCAGTGTGGTCTTGCAATATACTACAACTGGCTAGATCATGTATCTGTCGGCCATTCAAACCCTGTTGTTTGGATCCCGGGTGATCCTCTACGATGGCAGTCCTTTTCTCCCGCATCTTTCATCACTGATTACGCTTGCGGAACAGCAAAGGTAAGATGAATAGCTACCAGCTACTGCTAGAAACCCAACTGACATTGTCGCAAGGGTCACACACTTCGGAACCTCTCCACGATACATGTACGAGCTTCAAAAGGCAAAGATCCACCCGAGACAGATCGCGGATCTGAGCTCGTTGAAAATGGTCACCAGCACTGGAATGGTCCTCCCTGAGTCTCTCTTTGAGTGGTTCTACGACCAGGGCTTCCCGCCTCACGTGCGTCTCAACAATATTTCTGGGGGGACCGATCTCGCCGGGTGCTTCGGCATCGGCAATTCGCTTCTTCCTCTCTATGTGGGTGGTTGTGCCGGAATGAGCCTCGGGATCCCAGTTGATGTCTATGACCCTAGCATCGAGGGTTCGGGTGTCAAGGGAGTCCCTGTAGAGGAAGGGGCTGCTGGTGAGCTTGTGGCGACCGCCGCGTTTCCCAATATGCCGGCTTGCTTCTGGGGTGCGGACGGACACAAACGGTATCACGGTGCCTACTTCGCGCGCTTCGACAGTATGTTCTCCATGGGTAACTTTTGAGTATTGGTATGGTATACTAACGAATGATACCAGATGTCTGGACTCACGGCGATTTTGTCTCTATCCACCCGGTCACTAAGCAGCTATTCTTCCACGGTCGGGCGGACGGTGTGCTGAACCCGTCGGGCGTTCGATTCGGCTCTTCGGAGATATACCAGGTCATTGAAGGTGAATTTCCGACTGAGGTCGTGGACTCAATCTGTGTCGGTCAGCGCAGACCGTCGGACACAGACGAGCGGGTGGTGTTGTTTTTGCTTCTGAAGCCAGGCGTCGTCTTTACCCAGGAATTGGTTGGCAGGGTTAAGGCTGCGATTCGTCAGAAGCTCAGTAGTCGTCATGTCCCGACGTTCATCTTCGAGACTCCTGAAATTCCGGTAAGCAAGTGACCTGACTAGTGGCGAGTCCCATCGGCATTACTGACAATTGAGAATCAGACCACCGTCAATGGGAAGAAGGTTGAGCTTCCCGTGAAGCAGATCATCTCCGGAAAGAGAATCAAACCGTCTGGTACCCTGCTCAATCCTCAGTGCCTGGACTATTACTACCAATTCGCTGAAGTTGAAAAGCTGGTGCCCCGGGAGAGTAAGCTTTGAAGGGGCATGTATATGTTAAATCGGAGAAAGCCATGGGTGTAATAGTAGATAGGCGGGATAATAACTGGATTGATAAACAGAAAAAAGGCATGTACTTGATCTACGAGGGAAGTAGGTCTCCCCAACCCGCTACGGATGTTTCAAAATATATAACTATCATGCATCTACGAGTAGCTTTGACCAACACAATACATTAGAGCACCCGTAACTACGGAGAAAGGCAATGGAACATATGATGGAAACTATACAGTGTTTTGAAATTTTAGTCACAATATGCACAAACTTGAATCGACCGTTTACGATAAGCATCGATATAAGCAATATGAATTGCTTCATCGGGTGGTTGTATCGAGACAGCCCCACCGTGTCGACGGGAAACCGACGGTGTTTTGTTGGCCGTGAGTCACTGAGCCCCCGCCGAGCGAAATTATGACACACCCGATCGAGAATTATTGGCCATGACGGACGCTCTTATACGAGAAATAGGCAGATTCGTTTCTTCAATCTTCCGCTGGTGTATCACATGAGAGTACCGCCGAAACCTGCTGGCGCCATCCTGGAAATAAAACCACGATGAAAAAATGGGCGTTAACATCGTGCGGTGATTGACAACCATCTTTCTGCAAATCGAAACTACTTGAACAAATGGCATCAAGGTAAGTCTTGTTGTCCGGGGCGCTGATATACCTGGGAAGAGGTGATTCAGAAGGGGCCAATATCAAATGAAGAACAAAAGCCAAAGGCCATTCGCAAGCAGTCGCTAAATGTTTTCGAAGCACGATTCCCAATGGTTCCCACGACATTGCGATCGTACGGGGAACAGTTGACTCCATCCCAGCCGTCCTGAATCTCCTCGATACCGCAGTTAAATGGCTGGTATCGCAGGACAGAATTGGGCAGTGGGGAGCAGCACCGTTTTCTGAGAACCCAAAAAACCCCGAACGACTCAGAGAATTTGCAACCACCGGCCAGGGTCTGTGGCTCGCGATCAAGGTAGCTGATAATACGCCCGTGCTGGACCAAAATCGACTCTCCGGTACAAACGCCCAAACCGTGAACGGAGACACTCCGGGTGTCGTCGTAGGAGCGCTTGCTATTGGAGAGAAGATGCCATACGTGCCATCGGTCTCGGAGCCTGAGCTTTACGTGCGACTGTTAGTCACAGATCGACAGTGGGCGGGCAACGAGATTGGCAAACGTCTTTTGGAACATGCACGTCATGTTGCAAACAGCGTTGGGGTCTCATTACTACGGGTGGATTGCTATGCAGGTGGCGACGGCAAACTGGTCCAATATTATGAATCCCAAGGGTTTAAGCGATCGGAGAGGTTGAACCTGGAAGGCGACTGGCCTTGCCAAGTGCTGGCCCAACGATTAGATGAGGTGGAAGGAGAAGAGAGACCTTGATTCTTTCCTTGCCGGAGCATATGGAGTGGCTACGAAATGGACATCGACATTTATGCAATACACTACGCGGTGGATCCACAATAGACACCTTATTGGGCTCAGTTTCTTTTTCGTAGTCATCTAGGGCATAAGCAAAGTAGGCCTGCGCTTTGTCGTAAGCTAACTGGTCGGCCGTTCACATCTGGTCAGTGGGGGTTCTCACGTTCTACATGTTCAATGGAAGACTGCTGTTTGCGGGGATACGGGGTTTGTTGAATATACGCCGAGCCGAGGCTCTTTTCCATGTGGCGCCCTGCAGGATCAAGGTTTTGCTAAGGATGGTGAGGACCTTGTCAAGATACCAATTTCCGTGGTCCCGACCGATCGATTGTCCGCTGGAGAGGCCCTGCACCATAGCTGGCATGAAGCAATCATAGTTTCGAGTCATGTGCACTTAAACGAGACTGCATTGCCTACTCTGCTGGACTCTATTGAGCTATCGGCAAGACGCGGTGCTATCATTGAGATGGAACCCATAAAAAGGATCATGATGCAGATTTCAACGCGACATGGTCCAGGTAGTTCGCGAACAGTCCACAAGCCAACCTAGCACGCTGTGACAGACGAAACTCAGATCCTAGAATTCAACAGGGAGCTGATAGCCTCGAGTCGATAGACGCCCAAAACACTCACTACTCATTCAATCCGGTACTTGGGAAAGCTCGAGGATAAACCAGGGTTTGAGTCTATAAAGAGGAGGGCCGAGGCTCTTGAGGAAGTTAACCGGTGACAGGAGGTAAAAGTCATACAGCAGACGGACGCAAAAAAAACTAAGATGGTATGATGAATATATACAAACACCCAATGCATTATGAGCGGGATAGACAGAGCTTGTCAACCTCACGCCATTGAGTATCTCCAGGACCGAATTCTTGCACGTTTCCAACACTGAAACAAAAGGCCATTCTCATATATATGTCAACTTGGGAGCCAGAAAGCAAAAGCCTCTCCAATTGGAGGCTTATGTGAGTGGGTACCCCAGGATAATTTCCAACCCAGTCCCTGCGCGCGCTTATCCATAGACTGGCATAGGCGTACTTTGCTGGTATTAGATTTCACAGCCTCGTCCATACATCAAAGGGTTCTGTACGTACATCATACGACCCCCGGGCTCTAGTATTTTATCGCACTTAGAGAGAAATAAGGCATGGCAATTTAATTGAACTGGGTTACTAATTGTTTGCCAACAGCTTAAGGAAGCAAGAGGTTTTGCGACAACTTGCAGTGTGAATCAGAGGAGGTCATCCCTAGCCTGGCCTATCATAAACTGTGGCCTACTTAATTTTCATTTGTATCTGCTTTGAAGGCTTCCTTTAACCGTCCCTATAAGTTCGATTCATCCCAAGCCCTCAGCTCTCGTGTGACATTATTATTCTCATCCATACCCTTAATAGAGCTACCAGCAATATGTAATACGCTGTAGGACTTGAAGGCATCACCTAGCATTGTCAGGCCGGGCGTTCAAGGAGGATCCTCGATGACTTGTTTAGTAAAAACGCCGAGGCCGAGACATTTAAACTAATCAGGCGTAGAACAGGTGTTGACTAGGATTCTGATAACGTAACGGGGCCGGCCCTCGAGGGTAAGGAGCTCCCCGAGGCAGTTGGATGAGCAATTTATCTCTGACACGTTGGTGAAGTCAATTGTAGAGTAAGCGGTATGCCTTAAGAACACAGGGCCATGCAAGCGTTAAGAGACTTAGTAGCGGCGATTGCTCCTTCTGACAAGCCATCTGGAGCAGATGATTGAGCTTGCAAGACCGGGATCCTGAACATCACGGACTCGGGGTTCCAAACATCTCATCTGGAACGCCGGTGTCGAGAAGACATTTCCCTCACACATTATTCTCAGCCATCAACCCGTCTTAGTGCTGACCGTTATGTCAAGAGCTTCTTCCAATATGGTTATACAGCTACAGTATTCCAATAATATTATAATGGTACTAATTCATAGCAACAACAGGCATACGAAGAAACACGTAGACTACCTTGCCAAGTGCACTGGGGTGTATGCGCTGAAACAAAACAGGAAAAAGAGAAAAACAAAAACGAAAAAAGAAAAAAGAAAAAAGAA